TATGTATATATATGTATATATAGCTCTATCGGCCCATCACGATAACAAAAGTCGACTTTTCTGGAAAAATGTCCTTTGCTTAAGGCTATAAAATATTCTCACATCTTAGAGGAAGAAATAGATATTCTTAATTCAAGTAAAGCTTATAGGAATTCTTTTGTAGTGCCACAGTTTCAAAAGAGTAAAGAAGAAGAAGAAATTTGAATGCAAAGAAGGTCTTCCCAAGATAACCAAACTCTTCTTAAATTTTGTAACTATCGGACTACTTATGAATATACTATAAATATTATACAAATTAAGAAGCAGCATTTAAGAAGCGATTGCCTTAAATGAAAACAAATTATTGAATCGACGTTTTGCGTCTCTCGGGAGGAAAAAAAAACGCTCATAAATCTGCATTCAGTCTCAATTGCTTTAGCTCTTTCAAGTGAGTGCAGCATTGATTGCTGCTTTCACTCATCCAATAAAGTTGTGCCCACGCTCTGGCAGTACTTTAAAGAATTTATTCTGCTCATCACGCTCGGCTCCTGCTTCAATGCGCTGCGTCCTGCTTTCATGGCCAATCTATAGTGCTGGACACAAGACAAAGCCACAGGGGATTGGGTCTAGGGCGAACGGTGGCCGTAGCATCATTAGTGTTTTCCTTTGGGCCAAAGAAACTCGATACGCACTCTTTGCCTTAATCTTTTCGATATAGACAAGGATCAAAGGCGAGTCAAAGCACGTCAAAGCGAAACAGCCATCAACAATTTAATTGAGCGATCCAAATTGTCGAAATAGTTGGAAAAGGCAAAGCCATAAAAAATGGAAAATTTACAATCGAATATATCGAAGGAACAACTAGATCTCGGGAAACAACTATGTTAGAATAAACAATGCCATAAAAAGTGAAAAATTTTTAAACGAATATTTGAAATAAACGAAAATTCTAAATTATCCTTGCGCAGCTCTAGAAGAAATAACTAAGTTAGAATAGACCAGGCCATACAAATGAAATGAAATTCAAAATGCAATATTTGAGTTTGAGATCTGGGAGAAACCACTAGATCTAGAGAGACAACTAAGTTGGAATAAATATTTTATAATA